GTACGGCCTCCAGGCAACGGGCCATCACGTCAAGGGCATCGTTGGGGTGACCCGGGGTGGAGATGTACAGCTGAGTGTCATCAGCGTACTGATGGAACTCCACCCCAAAGCCCCGAATGATCTCGCCCAGCGGCTTCACATAAATATTGAACAATAGGGGAGAGAGGACCGACCCCTGAGGCACCCCACAAGTTAGGGGGAATTGGTCTTGCAAGCTCAAATTATTATCTTTCAAAATAAGGTATAAAAAGCGGACTCACACAATTGTTGTGCATATATACTTAAGCTCAGAAGGAGAAAGGTCACTCCTGATTCGGGATTTTGCATTTTTCAAAATAATATTTAACAGCTGCAAACAATGCCTGCTAGAAGACTGACTCTTTTATTTTGGTTCATGCTTAAGCTGGAAATGGAAGATAGAATAGAATAGAATAACAGAGTTGGAAGGGATCTAGTAGATCTTCTAGACTAACCCTCTGATCAGGCAGGAAACCCTATAGGTGGATTTGCTGTAATGTGGTGGAAATCCTGACTTTTAACTGGAATCAAGGAATAGTCAATTGCATGCAACTGGGAGAAACACAAACTGCAAACTGTGCTTTGTGTATGCAGATGTTCATGGTGAGGACATCAAAAAAATATCTCCATATTGTGGGCAGAGTCAATCTTGAAATATCTGGTGAAACTGCTCTTATATGCATTGTTTCTTTTTTTTAAAAAAATACTCACAGGTAGTCCTTACACTAAATCATTCATTTAGTGATATTCATTCTCATTTTTTTATTATTTAAAAAGTAAGAAAATGATAAATTAAATCCAAAATTACATTTCAGTTACAACTTTTGGGAACTTTGGTTCTAGTATCATCCTTTTATTCTGCAAAGCACTGCACAGAAAAACTGTTGCACAGTTTCAGTTTTCCACTTTGAGGTCCCTTCCTTTTTATGGACTAATGACTAGATAAAAGACAAGCATGTCAAAGTCACAATACAGTTTGTTCTGAGCTTTGCTAATTTTCTGGATATTTTTATTGTCTTATAAACATGTTTGGACTGAATAATCCCCCCCTTAATTTATTTAGCTTTTAAGTGCCACTCAAGAAGAAAGCTGGGATATAAATTCCAAGAAATACAGGGGAACCCACCCCAACTTTCCTTTATAAAAAAGTTAATTTCTTACTATGGATTGTATTGTGCACAAAAGAATCACAACAAATGCTGTTAACATGTTCAGGATTTACAAATCTTAAGCATCAACATCTGTTTAATGATCACTTGAAGTTACAGTGGCAATGAAAGAACTGACTTACGACCATTTTTCACACCTACGACCGTTGTAGCATCCCCATGGTCACATGATCAAAATTGAGAGACTTAACCACTGACTTATATTTATGACAGTTGGTGTTTTTAAGTCTGAAACTGCCAATTGAATTCTGATTGCCACACTCAAAATGCCACCAATGCCGCAATTCTCTAAATTTCATCTCATTCCTGTTGCATAAGAATGTGCTGGAAATATTTCTCCACTCATTGTCTCAATTTAACGTTTCTTTCCTTTTATGGATTACATTCTGGACAGCTTTTTTTACTTCGGCATTCCGAATTGTGTATATGAAAGGATTCAGCATTGGGGTAAGAGTGGTGTTCAGGATCGCCACAGTCCTTGTCAAGCGGTATGAGGACTGGACGTTGGGCCTCACGTACATGAAGACAAGAGCTCCATATAAGATGGACACCACCACGAGGTGAGAGGTGCAGGTGGAGAAGGCCTTTTTCCGCCCTACGGCGGAGGGAATGCGCAGGACGGTGGTAATGATGAAAATGTAGGACAGAATCATGAGAAGTAAGGTCATAATCACAACGACAAAGCTAGTCAATATTCTGAGGGACTCAATGAGATGAATATCTGCACACACAAGGCTCAACAGAGGACCAATATCACAGAAGAAATGGTCAACAATATTGGACCCGCAGAATGGCAATGTCCAAACAATAAAATAATGAAAAAAGATAATCCCAAAGGCAGCATACCAGGTGGCCAAAGACATTTGAAGGCACATATGCTTGGACATAATGATGGGATATTGAAGCGGCTTGCAGATGGCCAGATAGCGGTCAAAGGACATAGCTGTGAGGATGAAGAGCTCTGTGGTACCAAAACAGAAGTGAAAAAATCCTTGAGCCAGACAGCAATGGAAGCAAATGGTGGTTTTGGCTTCTATAAATGTCTGTAGCAATTTGGGTACCACAGTGGAGGTATAGCAGATCTCCAGGAAAGCAAGGTTGCTCAGGAAGATGTACATTGGTGTCTGAAGTCTTGGCTCAATTGCTACAATGACAAGGATGAAGCCATTCCCAAGGATGGTTACAAGGTACATGAATAGACCCACCACGAAGAAGACTCGGTGAAGATCATACAGAAAGGGAATTCCTAATAGGATAAATTCACTCACTCTGGATATATTCCTAGGCTCCGTCATTTCAGAATTGTCAATGATTTCTCAGTGGTAGCTCAGATGACATATAGCATTTCAAAAATTATTGCTACCATGTGCATTATATATTTAAATAAGGTTAAGAAGCAAATGAAGGGGGAAAAACTCAAAACAGGAAAGAAGGGTGTAGGAAAGAAGCACAGTGCATTTAAAACTTCTGAAATGTTCTATTTATCTAAATTTGTCTGTCTGGAAAATTAACTATTATTGTTATAACATCTACACATTTAAGTGAAAAGGGTATTTCATTTCATCATTTGCAATCCATTACACAAGGAAGTATGTGAAAAGTCACTAGGGTAATGCCAAAATTCAGGTGCACAACATTATATTTCAGTGTTTGAACTGATATTTCAGAAGTTACACTGGCCATATTCTTTCTTCCTGAAATAAAAGAAGAACACATTTAAGGAGAAAAATATCTTACTAAGTAAAGGAGGTCTCAAAAGTGCTTTTTCAAAAGCAACTGGACTTTCTTTATTTTCCTTGAAGACATTTTGCTTCTCATCCAAGAAGCTTCTTCAATTCTGACTAGATGGCGTCGGGGGAGAGAAGGGATGGAAGGATTAGTTGTTCCTGTCAGAATTAATCCTTCCATCTCCCCCCACCATCCAGTCAGAACTGATGAAGCTTCTTGGATGAGAAGCAAAATGTTTTCAAGGAAAAACAAAGAAAGTCCAGTTGCCTTTTAAAAAAGCATCCTTAAGACAATCATGACTTGGATTACTGAGAATCTCCTTAGATAAATAAAGGAGGGTGGTTAATTTGGGAGGCATCACATAACATCTTGAGATACAGAATTGATATCTAAAATGTCATAAGAGAAAAGTCTTTACATGCTCATATTATGATTGTTAAAAAAGCAAAAGAAAGACTAAAAAAGAATACCCATCAAAATAGTGATGTATTAATTTTATCTGAATAATCAAACAAATTTTTACCAACACCAGTCTTATACTTTGAACCTACTATAAACTTTTGCAACTATCTTGGTCCTTTGGGTGTGCCAATCAGATCAAATAAATACAAATAAAATTGTCCAGTGTCCATGTTTATCATTTTTATGCATAAAAGGTGGTGTATATTTGTATTATTTGGAGAAAGGGGAAAATTCAAAACATCTTAAGTTAGCGATTAAGAAGACAGACATTCCAAAGAGTCCAGAGTTTCTGCATACATAAACGATGAGCCAACTCTAAATTCAAGCAGATTCTCTTTTTAGTGATTTCAGTTGTTACTATTATTTGACTGGCAGGAGGGTGATTGGAACTGCCTGGAACCAGGATTTGGGCATTCTGAACCTTGACTTAACCTTGGGGCAATTAATCTTAGCTTCAATCAGCCTTGCTTTTAAACATAGCTTCTATAAGTCCATATCCCAATCTCATCTTACTTTTTTTTTGGGGGGGGGGGCGAAAAACAGAGACGGAAAGAAGGGAGAGAGGAGAGGAGAAAATGATTTGAGCATCAGAGGAGAAGAATTGATAGAATTGTGCAGTGGTAAAATTTTAAAAAAATCAAAATGTGGTTCATTTAATCTTTGAGACTTCGGATGTTGTACTTCCTTCCCTAAACTCAAAGCAGCTGTTTCCTTCTCTGGGTTCTTGCTGTCACCCGCCATGATCTCATGAGATTCCAGGTAAAGACCTCCTTGATTGAAAGAGCCCCAAAGCCAAAGCATTCCTAAAATATGATCTGCTCAAATCTCTAGCAGGTTGCAGATAGTAACCTACTTTTAAGTTTCCAAAGAGGAATTATTTTCTCTCACTTCTTCAGTTCTGAGAAAGCTTCTTGAATGAGAAGTGAAACATTTTCAAGCTAAACAAGAAAGTCCAGTTTCCTTTAGAAAGAAAGCACCTTTGGGACAACCATGACCTGGATGACTGAGAATCTCCAGAGAGATTTACAAGGAATTCTTTTAAAAAGGATGGTCATAGATCTCTTTATCTATAATGCTATATCTATAAAATAAGCCAGCCAATTCCAAATTGTAGAATCCTAAAATGATGGAGCAGGTGGGATTCTCCTTCTCTCTCTGTGTGTATCTCCATTTCTTGGACCATCATACTGACAACTGCTAGAATCAGGGCACTTATGAAACTCCTTTTCCTCCCTGGCTAGATCTTTGTAGACAGATGTCCAAGGTGGGATTTAGCAAAACAATTCAATGCCCCTTGTTTTGTTTTTTTTCCAACCTCTTTCAATTCTACACCTTAGATCCCAAGCAATTTCCATGTTGCATCCACTTCATCGGTCTTGAACCTGAGATTTTAAATTAGGTGCAGCCTTGCCAATTTCCATACATCAAAGTTTTACATATTTGGGTGATATGCTTAATCTCAGTAGGAAGAGGATCTGCAGACATAATATAGAAACTTGCTTAGATTGATATTTCAACAGAGTTTATACCTACTGAACATAATTGTCAACAGCAACATATTTGGGTGATATGCTTAATCTCAGTAGGAAAATGATCTGTAGTTATGATAGAAAAACCTGCTTAGGTTGACATTTCAACAGGATTTATGCATACTGAACAGAATTATCAACAACAACATATTCAACAAGAAAACTGTAGAATCTCCTTTCTTACCCTTCTGGCCATCATCAAATATGTTCTGAAGATAATTTTAACACAAAGAGATTCTACATATAACTCTGTTCCATAAAAGAAGATAGTCAGAAAATGCTATTTCCTTAATAGATCCTCAGGGATATTGTAACTGATTTAATAGTTTCCATTAGGCCAATTAGTTGTTTCTCTATGGGTGTCTTCAAAGAACAACTTTGAAATGATGGAAATGGGTCATCTGAACTAGTCAAGCTGAGAAAAAGGGATTGATCATTGGGAAGGCAGATTAATTAGAAGGACTTTCTTTTTGGAGATAACTCTGTCTAGCCCATCAAAAAATTCAAGTGGGACTTACTGAGATTTTCAAGAAGGCTGAGAAATATTCTTGTACATTGAAATGAAACTAGGGACTCTTGGTTTGCAGGAATGCAGTACTCCTTGACCTACGACCAAAGTTGAGCCCAAAATGTCCTGTTAGAGCATGTAGTCTTATTGCATGAGATAACCCAGGAGTAAACACAGTAAATAGTAGTCTATATTAAATAGTGGTTTATCTTACACTGTCTACAATATCATACACCAGGAACAATATACATACACGTACTAATATAGCAGATTCCAACAAACAGTTTCAGCAGGAAATGGAAAGAAGAGAACGCATCAGTGGAACCTTCCCTTTATACAAAGGCTCTTAAAGAGACACAGACCCTGCTGAGTCATCCCCATCATACATCTTAAATCTTACATTACATAAGCTGGTTAGCTGTTAAATCAATACCTTGACATTTCTACTGCTAAGCAAGACAGTTGAGATTTGCCCCATTGTACAACCTTTCTTGTCACCGTTAAGTGAATCACTGCAGTTGTTAAGTTAGTAACATGGTTGTTAGGTGAATTTGGCTTCCCCATTGACTTTGCTTGTCTGACGTTTGCAAAAGGTTATCACATGACCCTGGGACACATCAACCGTCATTAATACATGCCAGTTGCCAAGCATCTGAATTTTCATCACATACAGTAGCTAAGGCGATGCTGCAAAGGTCATAAGTCATTTTTTTCAGTGCCATTGTAACTTCAGATGGATACTACACAACAACTACCTGTAATTCATTGCATCTTCTTTGCTTGTACATGAAATCATCTTTTAAAAAATTAGATGGAAGGGGAATCTAGTGGAGACCACTTGTATGGTCCATCCATAAAATCATATCATTGTAGTCAATGGAAAAAAGTTGTGTTATTTAATTTTTAAGGAAAAGAAACTCAAGAAATATCTTGAGAACATTGATTGATTGATTGATTTTTATGCTATACATCTCTCTGATACCAATAACAATAGCACTTAGACTTAGATACCATCTATAGTGCTTTACAGCATTCACTAAGTAGTGTACAGAGTCGCATATTATCCCCAACAATCTGGGTCCTCATTTCACCAACCTCGAAAGGATGGATGGTTGAGTCAACCTTGAGCCCATCATGATTGAACTACTGGCATTGGGCAGAATTAGCCTGCAATACTGCATTATAACCACTGGTCCACCTAGGCTCTTCATGTTGATATTGTGACTCTCGGTAGCTATACTTTGCAAGATAACCCATAAACCACAACTTTTATTCAAAGAACACTGCTTTGGTCTCACTTAACGAACCATTGTATTAGAAGTACAACCTTCAGTAAGGCATTATCCTAATTTATGAAAACCACATAAGCTGCCACAGCAAAACAATACTTTTCTGTTGTATCTAATTGTGTGTACAAAACAATGGCATTTTTACAATTGCTACTCACACTTTGTGTTTATCACTAAAATTAATATGATTTCAAACTTGATTAATATAATAAATATCAATATCTCTTTTGTAATATACTGTTCTATGTGTTATTCTCGACAATTTTGTCTCCATTTATTGAATTCTACAGAATTCAATAAATCTTTATTGACTTGATGTAGAATATTTTTCCTGGAAATTTCAAGTCATCCAACTATTAATATGTCATCCATTTCTTAAAAGAAAGATTCCATTATCAAAATCTCCTAAGATTAATTACAATATGATAACTCACTTTGTTTAAGAGCTCTCAGAATAATGGAAACTTTCCTTAATCATAATTTCTCTTGGGAATTTTCCTACTTAGAGATAACTCTCGCTGGTTATTATCAAGCAGTTGGAAGAAAAATGTTGATAGGAAAAGTTTGAAGGAGACATATTTGGCTATAATTTCTCAGTGGAAATTATAGGAAGTGGCCAGAACTAATGGCCATAAGAAACTTATGGCCATTAACATATTGTCTCCCAAAAGTATATTTATTCTATCAAATACAGGTAATTATCGACTGACAATGGCTCATTTAGTGAGTGTTCAAAGTTACAATGGCACTGAAAAAAGTGACTTATAACCGTTTTTCAC